GCTTGCCAGAGCGACCAGCTTGACTTCTAACCACAAAGGCGCCATATCTCGGACAGCACAGATCGGCCGTCTTCAAAGCTGCCACCCCCGGCGAGGCAGCGCAGCGCAAGGTCTTACTTCACGCCCAAGGTAGATATTTTTCTTTTACGTGAGGTGCTGGCTGTCGACCCTTTTGAAGATGGTTCGAGATTGGCCGCCATCGTTCGCAACTTGTCGGCGGTGTTGCTGAGAAACGTGGTTGCCCGGAGACTTCGAGCATGAAATCTCACGGGAACAATCGACGTTAATAACTCAAAGTCCTATGCGTGCATGTCGTTTACATAGAATTACATATTAAACCATTGTTCCGTCGTCACGCTTGTCGGACTGCAACCGGCCGTCTGGATTGCTTGGCATCGGTGGTACCCACTTCAATCGAACTGCGGATGGCGGCATATACGAAAAAAAAGAAGTTTTTTTTTGTTTTGTGTTTGTAAGTGTCAGAATAATTAAGAAAGATTTATTGAAAGTAATTATGAAGGCCACTATGTTTAAAATGACATTTCTATCCTAAAAATAATTCAAAAATCACTGACTTGACAAGACGCTATGGCGCTGCTATCGCGTGTAACCATCGTCCGGCTCGCGTTTGCGTGCGCGCTGCTATAAGGCATTCTAGTTAGGTATGGGTTGGGTACGCAACGCCACGCACTCTCAAGCCCGCTGTGCCCCAAGAGCTTGCGTACCCAGCACTAAATCTCTCCATTATCATGGATTCGTGCGCAGCCCCGCACGATGACCTCGATGAAAAATCTATCTATCTATCTATCTATCTATCTATCTATCTATCTATCTATCTATCTATCTATCTATCTATCTATCTATCTATCTATCTATCTATCTATCTATCTATCTATCTATCTATCTATCTATCCGCCGATGCCGATGTGCTATCGTGGTCATCCCGGTAATTTTGGGTTAACGAAAATTAGTATTCAAGGGTCAGTTGATTTGACGAATATGACTTGCAGGTGATGATGTGAATAACACCGCCAGATCTGTGGCGCATACCCGTGGGTATGTATGTAGCGAAGGTGATTGATAGCTTATATTGACCCAGGAACGGCCACTGAAAGGGACAGTGAAACACTTAAAAAAACGAGATTATGGTGTCATTTACATATACGTATTTCATGCGGCGAACTCAAAAATTAGGTCGAAAATTTGCATAAACTAAAAAAAATAACTTTATTTTGCCAAAAAGAAGCAGCAGGCGCCACGGCCACCACCGTGAGTCTTGCCGCCGCTGTGATTGGTCGAAGCTCCATGACGTCACTATCAGGAAAGAGAGGACAGTTGACTGCGCTCGCCGGCAGGCAATGCCGTGTTTATGCGTTGAGGCGCTGCGCCGTGCTCCCTTCCGGGCTGCAGAAATTAGGCGCCTTTTTTTTCTAACCACTACCACCACCACCACTGTCTGTTGAAATCGGACAGTTGCTGTAAGTTTGGCGAACTGTGAAAGCCGGACAGAGTTCGCTGTACACGCGTACATGTTCGAGCCAGTCGCAACTTTAAGGGCGCCGACTGAAGCGGTACAGAAAAGCGAGTACCTACCAGCCACCCTCAGCCGCGTGGGAAACATAGACTGGCACGTATGAGATCCATGCCAGTGCGAAATTGCACTGTAATAAACTGTCACAAATGGTACCCTTATCAGTGGATATCAAATAAGCAGCAGCAGCAGCACTCGCTTTTAGCCTATTCGCACGGTCTGCGCTAGTCGAGGAGAGCATGCAGAAACATCAGCTGTTCGTGGATTTCACAGCTCAGATATCAGCGTTGATAATGCAATCAGTACCCTACTTCGCAGCGGGCAAGGCGCACGCGATGAGTCAGTATGCTACCCCGAGAAAAAAACATCACAGCATATTCATGCAGTGGATGATGATGAGTGGGGCGAAGCATCCGTCAGCCCGTCTGTGCTTCCGTCCACCCGTTCGTTTATGCTTCCGTCCGTCCGCGCGACCGTCCGTGCGTCCATCTATGCGTCCGTCCATCCGTCTATCCATGCGTCCATCCATCCATATGTCTGTCCGTGCGTCCGTACATACGCACGCGCGTCTATGCATCCATTCGTCCGTCCGCTAGTCTGTCTGCCCGTCCGTTCGTGCGTCCATATGTATGTATGGGTATGTATGTATGAGAGCGGGTATGTGCCACCTGTGGCTACGTACTACTACATACATACAAAGCATGGACAGACGTACGCCTTCAGGAGAAACACGTGGCGCAAGTTTTACCAAGAGAAAAAAAGACGAGACAGAAAGAGCGCCATTCTTTCTGTCTGGCGCTCTTTCTGTCTCGTCTTTTTTTCTCTTGGTAAACCTTGCGCCACGTATTTCAGCCTAATATGTACCAACTAGCCCAACATAACATACTATTAAGCCTTTAGGAGCTTTGCCCCTAAAAAAATAAAAGAGCCAGACGACTGCTGCTTTGTCTCAGTGGTGATATGTGCTTTGAGCTGCGTTGAAAATTGTGCAAGAATAGTTTGGCTCATATATTGCAATTCTGATTTTTATAATACCGTCACTTTTTCTAAATTCCACCCAGTACTACATTGACGATGTATTAAAATGCAAACGGTGTATTAGCTGCGCTAGAACCAAGCGACTGCCGTGTAGAATAGCTGATTTTGAATATGGGCACACACATCTTTGCACACGTGTTTTCGCTATAGGTGCCCATGCACACACTGCATGCAAATGGGGAAAGGGAAAGAGAAGGAGCTTTGCTGCTGTGTGAAAATTCAGCAGATTCGCGACCGCCACAGCGCGCTTTATCTTGTATTTTTTGAAGTACTTTTTTTACCTACAGCGGCCCATTTTGCACCCATCTTCTGATCCCGAGAAAAAGTGTGAGAAGCGACCTCATCGCGACCTTAAATGCAGTGGCAACCACATGACGCCCAGTAACTCGGCAGCGCGAGTCCCCTCAACTTTGCGAAAATACAACTAATCGATGTCGGATGGCGAAAATCTCTATTCAGGAAAACAGTGCAATGATGAGAAATCCCCACGAACTGGCAGAACTGATGCTTCACCAGGCTGCAGATCTCAGCAGAAACAATTACGGGCCGCGAAATAAAAAAGCGGAGCTACTAAGGTTTGCAGGTGGCCCGGCTTATAGTTGCCTGTTCGGCGGCGGCTCAACCCTGAAGGTTACGTCACCTCCTCACGTGTCTCTCTCTCCCGTGATCCGCCTTTGCGCGCGCGCCTGTGGGAGGGGGGCGTTTTTTTGTTCAAAGTTTGCTCGCTCATAGCGCCGTTGTTTATTCAAACCTCGCCAAAAACCTACGTTGACACGTTGTAAGGCGTCGCAAATAGCGAATTGGCAAGAAATTTGTGAATTAGAAACCTCTTCAGTGTTCCTTTAATGTGTGTGCGTTAAGAAAAAGCTAACATCGGCAGTGCACCCGAAAAATAGAAAGAATAATTGTTGCTGCCCCAGCAGAAACTGAGCCCCAGTATTTCAAGTGGCAATTGAATATTCTATCACAAAGTGATGCCGGGTCTCAGAAACACTTTTCCAATAGACCTTGATTGATTGATACGTCGGGTTTAACGTTCTTAAACCACCATATGATTAAGAGAAACGCCATAGTGGAGGGCTCCGGAAATTTAGACCACCTGGGGTTCTTTAACGTGCGCCCAAATCTGAGCACACGGGCCTACAAGATTTCCGCCTCTATCGGAAATGCAGCCGCCGCAGCCCAGATTTGATCCCGCGACCAGCCGGTCAGCAGCCGAGTACCTTAACCACTAGACCATCGCGGCCTAATATTCGTGAAACGTCAATTGCGATGATACTACTGTCTACACAATTTTATAAATGTTACATATGTTTTCTTATGATACAGTGGTCAAGTCGGGTTAACGTGAAATATAGTTAGGTGCCATCTGCTCAAGCGGATTTATGTAGCAGTACCCAGGGCTACTATCTCCTCGAGCATGGATATAAACAATTTTATTTCAAGTCTGGTGACGTTTACAAGGTCTCCCTTGAGGGCAATTCGAGGCCTTGATTCTTTGCTGCCTCTCCAGCACACTGGACTGCCCACTCTAGTGTCAAGAAGTTGGGGCTCCGCAGGGCGGCTCCTCACTTTCACGCAAGAGCATTCGGAGCTATTACCATTTGAGCTTCTTTAATAGAACACTCTCACAACATGTGTGAAAGTATATCTCGAATTGCCTGACAAAACTTGCAAGTAGCACTCGGGTATTGAGCGGAGAAAATGTTCCGAAATCGCACCGGTATGAGGAAGCTTTCTGTCTGCAGCTAGCGCCTGACGACTACCCGGCATCGTTTCAGCTTGGGTTGAGATAGGGACTTCAAGCGCCGTCGCTTCAATTCAGCTTACCGCTTCTGGTGTTTATATTATTCATTTTGCTGTTGGCGTCGTTACGTAACTGTTAACAACTGCTTAAATAAAACATAAGCGGTTGTTTAACGTACGGTTTTGTGCACATTTGTGCATAACTTTATTGCCACCTGGTGATGTTTCGCAAAAAAAATATTGCAACAGAGTGAGCAACCATCCGCATGCTTCGCATAACGTCGACTCCCAAGGTGCGTGGGGTCTGCCGAATTAATAGTGGAAACATTGCAATGATGAGTTTCTCACAATTGCGCGTTTAGTAGAAATATAAAGATGAAGCCAACAATCCAACTGCCCAGAAAGCTGCGATATCACTCATTTCAGATGCGCAAAAGTATTTTAGCCTTGGGCAAGTAGAGGCCTCACAGTGTTAGCATTTTCCAGAAAAATCTGCGTCTAGAGTTATATTTGCTTTCCCGCGCCAGCCACGTGACACTGGTCGGTCGGGGTTCCCTTTGACGACCCGACAGACATATTTATGAACGCGAACTCATTCGAGATTGTCCGAATGTCACTTTTACTACACCACTTATTATCATGGCGTGTATTGCGTTTATGACTCACACTGTATTTTTCAACGCAGGAACTGACGATCAAGGGTGAAGTGGTCTTGCGACGCGATGTCGACCATTACGTACAATCCAAACCATGCATGGCCCATTCCTGTTTTGGCGAAGTTTACAGAAATCCGCGAGAAAATTGGCTTTCACCTAATATACAAGGTGAGTGCAAAAACGTGTTTCGATTCAAGTTTCTTGATATTGTAACGACGACATTTCGAGCTATAGTGATGAATTTGTCAATTTGGTGACAGCGCTATTTAAAAAAAAGAGACTCCGAAGCTTTGCTTTCGGCCAAGCCATCGTGTGGTCGCGTTTGTCGTCTCCTTAGATCAGAGCATGCGACGGACAGTTCGCCTTCGCAACGCAGTCATTCCCACGTCAAGTGGTCGCCGCGTCACACAAAATACATGTGAGTGCCAATCGTAAGCTGTGCCTGTCGGCCTAGCCATCGTCTGCTCACGTTTGTCGTCTGCTTCGATCAGGGTATGCGACGGAAAGTTCGCCTTCGCAACCCAATTCTTTCCCGGTAAAGTGGTCGCCGCATCCCACAAAATACATGTCAGTGCCAATCCTAAGCTGTGCCTGTCGGCCAAGCCATCGCCTGCTCGCGTTTGTTGTCTGCTTTGACCAGAGAATGCGACAGAAAAATCGCCTTCGCAAAGCAATCATTCCCAGGTCAAGTGGTCGCCGCGTCGCACAAAATACATGTCAGTGCCAATCCTAAGCTGTGACTGTCGGCCAAGCCATCGTCTGCTCGCGTTTGTCGTCTGCTTAGATCAGAGCATGCGACGGAAAGTTAGCCTTCGAAACGCAGTTATTCCAAGGTCAAGTGGTCGCCGCGTCGCACAAAATACATATCAGCGCCAATCTTAAGCTGTGCCTGTCGGCCAAGCCATTGTCTGCTCATGTTTGTCGTCTGTTTCGATCAGAGCATATGAACGAAAGCGCGCCTTCGCAACACAATTCTTCCAGGAAAAGTGGTCGCCGCATCGCACAAAATACATGTCAGTGCCAATCCTAAGCTGTGCCTGTCGGCCAAGCTATCATCTGCTCGCGTTTGTCATCTGCTTAGATAACAGCATGCGACGGAAAGTTCGCCTTCGCAACGCAACTATTCCCAGGTCAAGTGGCCGCCGCGTCGCACAAGATATATTTCAGTGCCAATCCTAAGCTGTGCCTTGTCGGCCAAGCCATCGTCTGCTCGCGTTTGTCACCTGCTTCGATCAGAGCAAGCGACGGAAAGTTCGCCTTCGCAACGCAGTAATCCCAGGTCAAGTTGTGGCCGCATTGCACAAAATACATGTCAGTGCCAATCCCAAGCTGTGCCTGTCGGCCAAGCCATCGTCTGCTCGCGTTTTTTGTCTTATTAGATCAGGCCATGCGACGGAAAGTTCGCCTTCGCAACGCAATTCTTCCCAGATGAAGTGGTCGCCGCGTCGCACAAAATACATGTCAGTGCCAATCCTAAGCTGTGCCTGTCGGCCAAGCCGTTGTCTGCTCACGTTTGTCGTCTGCTTAGATCAGAGCGTGCGACGGAAAGTTTGCCTTCGCAACGCAATTATTCCCAGGTCAAGCGGTCGCCGCGTCGCACAAAATATGTCAGTGCCAATCCTAAGCTGTGCCTGTTGGCCAAGCCATCGTCTGCTCACGTTTGTTTTCTGCTTCGATCAGGGCATGTGACGGAAAGTTCGCCTTCGCAACACAATTCTTCCCAGTAAAAGTGGTCACTGCATCGCACAAAATACATGTCAGTGCCAATCCTTAGCTGTGACTGTCGGCCAAGCTAACGTCAGCTCGCTTTTGTCGTCTGCTTAGATCAGAGCTTGCGACGGGAAAATCACCTTCACAACGCAATTATTCCCAGGTCAAGTGGTCGCCACGTCGCACAAAATATATGTCACTGCCAATCCTAAGCTGTGCCTGTCGGCCAAGCCATTGTCTGCTCGCGTTTGTCGTCTGCTTTGATCAGAGCATGCGACGGAATCTTCGCCCTCGCAACGCAATTATTCGCAGATCAAGTGGTCGCTGCGTCACACAAAATACATTTCAGTGCCAATCCTATACTGTGCCTGTCGGCCAAGCCATCGTCTGCTCGCGTTTTTCGTCATATTAGATTAGAGTATGCGACGGAAAGTTCACCTTCGCAACGTAATTATTCCCCGGTCAAGTGGTCGCCGCATCGCACATATTACACGTCAGTGCCAATCCTAAGCTGTGCCTGACGGCCAAGCCATCGTCTGCTAACGTTTGTAATCTGCTTCAATCAGAGCATGCGAAGGAATGTTCGCCTTCGCAACGCAATACTTCCCAAGTCAAGTGGTCGCCGCGTCGCACAAAATACATGTCAGTGCCAATCCTGAGCTGTGCCTGTCGGCCAAGCTGTCGTCTGCTCACGTTTGTCGTCTGCTTCGATCAGGGCATGCGACGGAAAGTTCGCCTTCGACATGCAATCATTCCCAGGTCAAGTGGTTGCCGCGTCGCACAAAATACATGTCAGTGCCAATCCTAAGCTGTGCCTGTCGGCCAAGCCATTGTCTGCTAAAGTTTGTCTTCTGCTTCGAACACAGCATGCGACGGAATGTTCGCCTTCGCAACGCAATAATTCCCAAGTGGTCGCCGCGTCGCACAAAATACATATCAGCGCCAATCTTAAGCTGTGCCTGTCGGCCAAGCCATCATCTGCTCGCGTTTGTCGTCTGCTTCGATCAGAGCATGCGACGGAAAGTTCGCCTTCGCAACGCAATTATTCCCAGGTCAAGTGGTCGCCGCGTCGCACAAAATACATGTCAGTGCCAATCCTAAGCTGTGCCTGTCGGCCAAGCTATCATCTGCTCTCGTTTGTCGTCTGCTTAGATAAGAGCATGCGACGGAAAGTTCGCCTTCGCAACGCAGCTATTCCCAGGTCAAGTGGCCGCCGCGTCGCACAAAATATATGTCAGTGCCAATCCTAAGCTGTGCCTGTCGGCCAAGCCATCGTCTGCTCGCGTTTGTCACCTGCTTCGATCAGAGCAAGCGACGGAAATTTCGCCTTCGCAACGCAGTAATCCCAGGTCAAGTTGTCGCCGCATTGCACAAAATACATGTCAGTGCCAATCCTGAGCTGTGCCTGTTGGTCAAGCCATCGTCTGCTCGCGTTTGTTTGTCATCTGCATAGATCAGAGCATGCGACGGAAAGTTCGCCTTCGCAACGCAATTATTCCCAGGTCAAGTGGTCGCCGCGTCGCACAAAATACATGTCAGTGCCAATCCTAAGCTGTGCCTGTCGGCCAAGCTATCATCTGCTCTCGTTTGTCATCTGCTTAGATAAGAGCATGCGACGGAAAGTTCGCCTTCGCAACGCAGCTATTCCCAGGTCAAGTGGCCGCCGCGTCGCACAAAATATATGTCAGTGCCAATCCTAAGCTGTGCCTGTCGGCCAAGCCATCGTCTGCTCGCGTTTGTCACCTGCTTCGATCAGAGCAAGCGACGGAAATTTCGCCTTCGCAACGCAGTAATCCCAGGTCAAGTTGTCGCCGCATTGCACAAAATACATGTCAGTGCCAATCCTGAGCTGTGCCTGTCGGCCAAGCCATCGTCTGCTCGCGTTTTTCGTCTGCATCGATCAGTGCTTGCGACGGAAAGTTCGCCTTCGCAACGCAATTACTTCCAGGTCAAGTGGTCGCCGCGTCACACAAAATACATATCAGCGCCAATCTTAAGCTGTGCCTGTCGGCCAAGCCATCATCTGCTCGCGTTTGTCGTCTGCTTTGATAAGAGCATACGACGGAAAGGTCGCCTTCGCAACAATTATTTCGGGTCAGGTGGTCGCTGCGTCGCACAAAATACATGTCAGTGCCAATCCTAAGCTGTGCCTGTCGGCCAAGCCAATGTCTGCTCGCGTTTTTCGTCTGCTTAGATAAGTGCATGCGACGGAAAGTTCACCTTCGCAACGCGATCACTCCCTGTCAAGTGGTCGCCGCGTCACACAAAATATATGTCAGTGCCAATCCTGAGCTGTGCCTGTCAGCCAAGCTGTTGTCTGCTCACGTTTGTCGTCTGCTTCTATCAGAGCATGCGAAGGAAAGTTCGCCTTCGACATGCGATCATTCCCAGGTCAAGTGGTTGCCGCGTCGCACAAAATACATGTCAGTGCCAATCCTAAGCTGTGCCTGTCGGCCAAGCCATCACCTGCTAGCGTTTGTCGTCTGCTTATATCAGAGCATGCGACGGAAAGTTCGCCTTCGCAACGCAATTATTCCCAGGTCAAGTGGTCGCCGCGTCGCACAAAATCCATGTCAGTGGCAATCCTAATCTGTGCCTGTCGGCCAAGCTATCGTGTGCTCGCGTTTGTCGTCTGCTTAGATCACTGCATGCGACGGAAAGTTCGCCTTCGGAACGCAATTATTCCCAGGTCGAGTGGTTGCCGCGTCACACAAAATACATGTGAGTGCCAATAGTAAGCTGTGCCTGTCGGCCAAGCCATCGTCTGCTCGCGTTTGTCGTCTGCTTTGATCAGAGCATGCGACGGAATCTTCGCCTTCGCAACGCAATTATTCGCAGATCAAGTGGTCGCTGCGTCACACAAAATACATTTCAGTGCCAATCCTATACTGTGCCTGTCGGCCAAGCCATCGTCTGCTCACGTTTTTCGTCATATTAGATTAGAGTATGCGATGGAAAGTTCACCTTCGCAACGTAATTATTCCCCGGTCAAGTGGTCGCCGCATCGCACATATTACACGTCAGTGCCAATCCTAAGCTGTGCCTGACGGCCAAGCCATCGTCTGCTCACGTTTGTAATCTGCTTCAATCAGAGCATGCGAAGGAATGTTCGCCTTCGACATGCAATTATTCCCAGGTCAAGTGGTCGCCGCGTCGCACAAAATCCATGTCAGTGCCAATCCTAAGCTGTGCCTGTCGGCCACGCTGTTGTCTGCTCACGTTTGTCGCCTGCTTCTATCAGAGCATGCGAAGGAAAGTTCGCCTTCGACATGCGATCATTCCCAGGTCAAGTGGTTGCCGCGTCGCACAAAATATATGTCAGTGCCAATCCTAAGCTGTGCCTGTCGGCCAAGCCATCGTCTGCTCGCGTTTGTCACCTGCTTCGATCAGAGCAAGCGACGGAAATTTCGCCTTCGCAACGCAGTAATCCCAGGTCAAGTTGTCGCCGCATTGCACAA